TTTGCATGTTTGGGATTCACTGTGTTCTTAGAACCTCATTTATTTCTCATTCTCAGGTATCACTGTACTGTGTTGCCTAATGCTCAGAATTTGAAACTGATTCACATTGTCTTTTTAAAATTTCTGGTGTGAAAATCCAATAAAAATTCATTCCCTGTTGGTCCAGAAGCAAAAAGTTCAGTATTAGAGTTCACATTTTATCATGTAAAAACTCTGTAACAAGAAAGTTTTTTCCATACACATAAAGTTACAAAAATTATTTTATTTATCCCAGTTCTTTAATACATTAATGGAAAATATCAACGGATTTAAATAGACAATTTAGGAAAAACACTTTTATGTCTTCTAAACCTATTTGATAATGATATGTATAAAACAAAACTTGTTACAAGTCATAATAATCTGCCAGGAAAAAAGATCACATCAGCACCTTTTTGTGCTTTAGTAGAAATGTATTCTCTAGGCCACACTGGAAAGTCATTTAAATTTTTAAAAACATTTCTTCAATTATTAGTATACTTACACATATTAGTTGCAAAGTTCTCTATTGCTTTGGAAATCATAAAGTAGGTATTTTTTAATTTTAGTAAATATTTTTATCTCAAAATTCATAACTGGGCAGAAGTGCCAGATATAAGGCACACAATTCAAATCTTTGGGTCAAGAGACTACAATAAAACAATCCAGTAGCCCTCCTAATCTTATACCACACTAAAACTGCAGATCACAACAGTAGATATACATCTATCTCTACTAGAAAAAAGGTATAAATTATTTTAACAATTAACCTTTCTAAATAATATGGTAATGCCAACAATATAAAGATACAGGCAGCACAGAAGGGATTACAGAAAGTAAATAATTAAACAAGGACCAGGGATGTAGCTGAGTGGTAGAACCTTGCATATGTGAAGCCCTGGACTTGGATTCAACACTAGGTAAAAAAAAAATGCAAAAAATAAATGACCCATACTTCATTTGTAAGATAAGTGACAGTAATAATGAAATAATTGGTATCTAATGAGATTTTCACTGATTGTAAGTTGACTGTAAGCTGGAGCGATAGCACAGTGGGTAGGCGTTTGCCTTGACGCCGCTGGCTGGCCGACCGGAGTTCAATTCCTCCACTCCTCTCAGAGAGCTTGGCAAGCTACCGAGAGTATCTCACCTGCACAGCAAAAGCCTCGCAAGCTACCCTTGACGTATTTGATGTGCCAAACACAGTAACAACAAGTCTCACAATGTTACTGGGCCCGCTCAAGCAAATTGATGAACAACAGGAGGAAAGTGCTACAGTAAGTTGAATCATGTTGATTGAAACTATATAATTTTACATGTTATGAATCTGTGAGCGGATATACAGTTCGCTTTGAATCTTATCAAGTGTTTTGGTAGGTAGACTTCGCAAAAAAAAAAAATCAAGCGTGAGTAAATATCTGCCAGAAGTACAAAACAGTAAAATGAATGCACTGTAGCACTATCCTCCCATTGTTTGTTGATTTGCTCAAATGGGCGCCAGTAACGTCTCCATTGTGAGACTTGTTACTGTTTTTGGCATATTGAATACGCCACGGGGAACTTGCCAGGCTCTGCCATGCGGGCAAGATACTCTTGGTAGCTTGCCAGGCTCTCAGAGAGGGATGGAGGAATCATCGAATCTGAGTCGGCTGCATTCAAGGCAAACACCCTACCCAGAGAGGGGATAGATAGTCAAAATCTCCCAACAGTCAGTCTCTCATGCACGATTTAATTGGTTAGTCCCAAAAATCAATCAGATAGCAGAAATAACTCAGGGACAGGGATCTCCAGTCACTGCATAAGATGTATGATGGAGAAGTCTGGTTGGCCTATCACAGACAGACATGTTCTGATGGGTCATAGGGCACTGTGACCTGAGTGGTGCGTAACCAATCAGCTAGCAGAAATAGCTAAACTGTGGGAATATGGAGACCTATATAAACCCAGGTTGCTGTCTTGGCTGTTACTATTGATACTGCACAGCGGTAAGGCGTTTACCTTGCACACGGCCAACATGGCTGACCCGAGTTTGATTCCTCCGCCCCTCTCGGAGAGCCCGGCAAGCTACCGAGAGTATCTCGCCCGCATGGCAGAGCCTGGCAAGCTACCCGTGATGTATTCAATATGCCAAACACGATAACAACAAAGTCTCCAATGGAGACATTACTGGGCCCGCTCGAGCAAATTGATGAACAACGGGAGGACAGTGACAGACTCTCCTAGCTGATCACATCCAAAAGTCTGCTAGTGGAAATGTTCATACATGAGCTGTAAAATATATACTTAAGATATTTGGGGGGCAGTGTGCTAATATTAGACATAGTCTACAAGAACCTGAGTGACATCACTGATGCAAAGAAGGCAGTGAAGATGTGCAGTTTTCCCTCATCTATAAGCACACAGCAAAATGAGATAGGACTCTGGGGGACAGGATCACCCTCTCTTTCCTGCTTCTGACCAGACTCCCTGACCTGCACCCCCACATACACACAGCTGGCACCTGCCCCAAGGAACCAGGCCAGGGATTAGTCCAGTTCCACCATGTGCAGAGCCAAGAGCAAAATAAAATGGGGTGTGGCGGGGGGGGGGGGGGTAACAAAGTGGTAGTCCAGAGGGGAGGGCTTTTGCCTTGTGCACGGCCGATCTGGGTTCAATCCCTGGTATCCCATATGGTCCTCCAAATACCGCTATGAGTAATTCCTGAGTTCAGAGCCAGGAATAACACCGGAGCATCGCCAGCTTGTGACCCGAAAAGCCAAAATAAATAAGACAGGGAGGGCTGGCAGTGGGGGTGCTGTTTTAAGTCAAAAACAGCCCTTAACCCCACCTCAGGGTTCAGAGGGAAAGACCCTCACCCCCTGCAGCTTCCAGAAGTCTGTCTGTCTCTGTCTCTCTGTCTGTCTCTGTCTCTGTCTCTCTCTCTCTCACACACACACACATACACACACACACATGCACACGCACACATATACACACAGCCAGCTCCTATTTCCCGACATGGTGCCAACTGTACATGGAGCGGAAAAGTGCCCCAGTGCTTCCTGGAGAAAGACCCTACCAGATTTTTCTAGCTTTCTTTCCAGCCTTGAGAGGTCCAGAGGCAGCTGATTCCTACAAAGAAAGATGAGATAGCCCAAGGCAACACCTACTTCCTCCCTTTCCAGTAATGGTTTCCAACACCCATGTGTTCAGTGAAAAGGAATGTATCATCTGCCTTCTCTGAGATTATTACTTTTTTTTTGTCTTTTATTTGATCTTTGGGTCACAAACTTGGTGCTCAATGACTACTCCTGACTCAGTGCTCAGGAGTCACTCCTGGTGGTGCTATGGATCAAACTTGAGCCTCCTGTATGCAAAGCCCATGCTCAGGACCCAGCTCACCAGCCCTTCTGAGGTTAGTCTAAAAACAGAGGGAATTGGCAGAGTCAAGCTTAGAGTCCAACCCCTTCAAAACAAAACAAAACTGTTCCTAAACTTAAAGTGCAAAGCTTTGAAGTAATAAAAAAAAAAACCTTGAGCATTTACCATTTCCCAGTGACTATGCCAAATTCTTTTGAAGATAAAGAAATCTCCCCAAAGACCTGAGAGACGGTATTAGAAACCATGTTTATCCGCTTTCAGAGAAAATCTTGTTTCTCTCATTCATTTCTCTTGCAAAAAAAAAAAAATATTCCTTTCAGGCAGAGCACAAACTAAAACAAGCAGGTGCAAGCACCTGTCTTGGGACATACCATACCCCATGCTGGATCTGGGGAGCATCCTCCCTGTCACCCCCCCCCCCCAATAAAGAGTGAATGGCCCAGCAGCTTATGAGACCCTCCCACCCCATTTCTGAAGGCAGAAGTATACAGGAAATCCCCAGCTCTGTGTGCACACAGAGCACTCCACAAAGCACCAAGTCTAGGACAGCAGAAACATACTGGCCTGGCCGACAGCACTCCCAACAGCTAACCCACCAATCACTCCTCAAGGTGGGGCTCTGACAAGTCACCTTACAGCTCCAGGCCTCTGTTCCCCAATTCACAATCTGATAAACAGAACGATGTTCCGACCTAGCTACTGGAAAGTTCCCACTGTGTGAGTCACCCTCATCAACAATTGTTATCATTCCGTCTCAATGACTCCCAATGATTTCAAGCAAATGTGGCCACACAACCTCTTATACTTTAGCCCACTGATGTACACAATTTTTTTTGGGGGGGTTAACATACATGCTTATAATCTCGTATACAAGGCTTAAATAGCTCCAGGATGAAATACAGCAATCTTCACACACTTTCCTCTTATGGTGGTGGGAAGGTGATGGTGGTGGGATTGGTGTTTGATTATTATCTGTAATGAACTATTGTGAACAACGTTATAAAAAATAAAATAATACAATTAAAAAATAATTGATTGGTACTATTAAATCTGTTAGATGGCACAGCGGTGGGGTATTTGCCTTGCACGCAGCCAGCCTGGCCAACCCGGATTTGATTACTCCGCCCCTCTCAGAAAGCCTGGAAAGCTACGGAGAGTATTCAATATGCCAAACATAGTAATAAGAAGTCTCACAATGGAGACGTTACTGGGCCCTCTTGAGCAAATCAATGAACAACAGGAGGACAGTGACAGTTTGACAGATAGGGGTGGTGTGGGGAAGGGTAGCCTTTCAGCTTTTACACTGAAAGGAGTTTTCTCTTCCTCCTCTTCTCTCTCCTTCTCTCACCCACTTCTCCCTCTTTTCTCCTTTCTTCCTCTTCCACACCCAGCAATGCAAGGACTCATGACTCTATGCTCAGGGATCACTATAAGGTGGTGCTCAGGGGACCACATAGAGTGCTGGGGATCAAATCCAGATGATCCTGTCTCCTTAGTTGTCTCTCTAACATGAATGCAACAGATAAAAATGTAATTTTTACCCAAATTTTACCCAAATTTCAAAAAAAAGTTATATTAAGTGTTCAGGAAATAGTTATACTCGACTTCAGTTAAAATAATTGCTAATCAACCTTGTGTTTTATTAATCAACTGCAAAAAACACAAACTCTCATTTAAAAACTACTTTGACCATAAAAATAGAAGGTATACAAAACTCTATAATCCTCAAATATTCAAAACAATTTGAAAGGCTGTCAATCACAAATGTTTTTAAATGACTAAAAACATGTAGTCTACTTTCCTGAAAATTTTCTTTATAAAAAAGGGCACTTAGTGGAGCTAAAGATTTTGTAAAGTAAGGAGCCTGTTGACTTTCCTATCAAGCAGATACATATTTACAGTTTTAAATATAAAAATATAAATATATTTGACAGAAAAGATGAAATAATGGTTGGTGAAAAATCCCATCTCCCTTTCACTTGAAAAATTTTTTTCCAGAGACCATGAAAACAATACTGATTCCATGTACTTGTGTATTGCCAGAAATTCCTGAATTGCAAAACATTAAGGCATTCACTGAAATTTCAAAAGTGGGCTCTTAGTCTTTTGTTTTCTTCTCGTAGTCTTTCAATTTCAGCCACCAAACCTTCATTCCCTGAGTATCTTTCCAGTAAAGAGTGCATGTCATTCTAGAAAAAGAGAAAATACTTTTAAAATCAAAGGCATTTCACCTTTATTTGTCAAGTTGTTTTACATATTTTCAACTTTCATTTCTTGTGTTCAATTATGAGCTGAGTATGTCTTGTTTGTACTTAATCATGACTGTTACTTTGCTAATACAAGTGAAAGATCAATGATAAACTTTATGTATTTGGAAAGCTGAGAAGTTGCATATCTGGGGAATTTTTTATTTATTGAGAAAAAAATGGCTGTGGGGGAAAAAAAGTCTTAATTATCACAGGTTTATAAAGGAACTAAATAAATGAACAAAAGTCTATTTTCCTCACTAAATTCTTAAAATTATCTTAGCAATTAGATAAAACTAAGTAAAAATGTATCACTCTTTGATGAATTTTTTAGATTCATAACTCTACATTACTTTAAAATATAATTTGTCACACTTACCAATTGCATATGAAATTGCTTAATCATCTCCACTTGCAAATTCACAATATCCCTATGGCAAGCTTCTCTAGGGAAAGAAAACAGAATTGTTAAGTTTTATCAAAGCTTTAACACTCAAGATTTATATATTTCTCATTATTTCAAATTATAAGATTTAAGAATGATTGTTACAATCATTATACCATTATAAAATTTTATAAATCATAAAAAGTAGCTAGCATTTGCTTAATGTTAGGCACTATCCCATGTACTTTAAGTGTAAGAATTCATTTAATTTTCATAACAAGGTGCAAGTACAACCTTCATTTTACCAATAACTAAGCCACTGAACTAATCAACAATGGTGAGAATATAATCCCAGGGTATCTATGCTCTAGAACTTCCACTACATCATATTTCCTTAAATAGAAATTATCACTTAAGAAACACAGGCTTATATTATAATGAAACAAATAATTCACTAGGTTGCAATGTTTCAAATATTACCAATGCTTCAGCTATTAAACAATACTTCAGAATTAATTCTTATAGTAGGGTGGTTATGGCACAGCTTTTACTCAATAAAATGCTACTAAATTTATGTCAATTTTTTTTCATTATCAAGAATAATAAAAGAAACAGTGACTCACCACAGAATTTATAAACTAGAAAATTACCAATGTTTATTATAGAGCTTTCTTGTGGGTTACTCTGATTCCATCACTTAACTCTTGGTAGAACTTCAAGAAAGAAGTCACAATTGCTAAACTTTGTCTAAACAAAGAAACACTTTCTAAGCTTTTTTTCCTCTTTGGATAAGCACCATGTTCTCTCTTAATTATGTATTTTTCTCTGTTTCTCTCACCTCTTTTTTTTTTCTGTAACCTCTACCCTTTTTTCTGTGAGGGAGAAAAAATTAAATTTAATATAGTAAATGTATTTACTATATTAAGTTTATTTAAATGAAATTATTTTACTTCACACACACAAAAAGGAAACATTTTATTAAAACCAAACAGATTCTGCAATATATTTCTACTGAGTTTGCCTTTTTTTACCAAAAGGTACCATGCCCTATATGTTCTTGAAGAGTGCATCTTTAAAAAGTAGGTTACCGGGAGTATGATGCCACCAGCAGGTCAGTCTGTACCTGTGAGGCGAGTGCATCAGCAGCCTCATGGCACCTTCAGACTTCCAGATACCCCCAAATTGCTGCTGTGCCTTTGGTCAGACCCCAAAAACTTGGGGCAAAGTTTACCAAGAAAGTAAATGGCCAAAGGTTAGGTATGTGGGAAACATACCCACAAACCACCTCCAGCTCAGCTATATAATTGGAGGCATGGACTCTCTGGTTCCTGATTGAACTGCTTAATGTCCAGGATCCCAGAGACTCAGAAACAAATCTCAAAATCCAGCGGCTTTTGGCAGAAATGCGTTCAGTCCCTGCAGTAGGTTACTGGTGATGGGCCAAACCAGATGGGAATAGGTTTCGTGCCTTGGCCTGTTCCTCCAGAGTGCCTCACAGGATGGGGGTGGAGCCAGTCCTGTCCTCCCCACCCCAACGAGACCCCAAGTCATTGCCCACAAACGGCCTTTCTGGCTCCTGATCAAGCTGCTTAATGGCCATGATCCCAGAGGCTCAGAAACAAATCTCGTAACCCAGCAGCTTTTGACAGAAATGCGTCCAGACCACGTATTAGGTTACTGTCTCCAGGCCATCCCAGGAGGGAAAGGATGTTGTCCCTCTGCCTGCTTCCCCTGGCAGCTCAGTGGCCGTCATCCTCCAGAGGCCACTGGACAGTCAGGTTTGGGCCCGCAGTGACAAGACATTTTGGGCCTCATGGGATGGGGGTGGAGCCGGTCCTGTCCTCCCCACCCCAATGAGACCCTAAGTCATTGCCCACGAACGGCCTTTCTGGCTCCTGATCAAGCTGCTTAACAGCCATGATCCCTGAGACTCAGGAGCAAATCTCAGAACCCAGCAGGTTTTGGCAGAAATCCATCCAGATTTAAGTGTTAAAATTTTGGAATTTCAAAATTGCGTGGTCACTTCTGCAGCCACGCAACATCATATGTTATTCATAACCAGAAATAGAAAACAAATTGTCTACTGTTGCCTTTTCAGCAGATCTGAGTGTTGGGTAAAATCTCAAATAATAATGGTGGGTCTGGTGTCAAAATATTGAATGTGATCAAAGTAGAGAGAGAGTAATATGGGAATCACCTGCCCCAAAGGTAGGGGGAGGGTGTGGGATGGGGGTATACTGGGGCTTTTGGGGGTGGAGAATTGGCACTGGTGAAGGTACGGGTGTTTCATTGTATGACCGAGACTTAGACCCGAAAGCTTTGTAACTGCTCTCACGGTGATTCAATAAATAAAATTATAAAAAACAAACAAAAAAATTAAGGTGGAGTTCATGCACAATTCAATCAGCTAATCAGTGGCTGAATAAATAGCAGTACTCCTACATAAAAATAAATACATAAATAAATAAATAAATAAAATAAAAAGTAGGTTACAGGAGTATTGCCCCATGGTTGGAAGCCTGGCACAAGTTGGGGGAAGAAGATAGAGAAGGGACCACTATGACAATAATAGTTGGAATTGATCACTCTGGACAAGAACTGAAGGCTGAAAGTAGGTAAAGGGATATACATGATAATCTTTCAGTAACTGGACTGCAAACCATAATGCCCAAAAGAGGTGGGGGAGGGAGGGAGAGAGGAGGGATGAGGGAGGGAGGGAGAGAGAGAGAGAGAGAGAGAGAGAGAGAGAGAGAGAGACGGAGAAAGAGAGAAGGAGAGAGACAGAGAGAGGAGAGGGAGTGGGAAAAGGAGAGAGGGAGAGAGACAGGAAGAGAGACAGAGACACAGAGAGAGAGAGAGAGAGAGACAAAGAGAGAGAAGAGAGAGCACCTGCCATAGAGGCAGACTTGGGGTTGGGGAGTATAAGGAGATAAACTGAGAAAATTGGTGATGGGAAATGTATAATGTGAAAGGAAGGCTGTTGGAACACTGTATGAATGAATGTAACCCAATCATGAACAACTTTGTAACTGTGTATCTCACAGTGCTTTAATTAAAAGAAAAAAAAAGTAGCCTAATTTCCTGTCCTCAAGATTAATGTTCTATGTATCTAGGATTTTCTAATTCATACTGGTGTTTACATGATCCTGTCTACTGACATTTGGATTGTTATAAACAATCATCTATCTCCCAATATGCAAGTATGAGTATCTATAGATGACATATCTAAGAGAAGAAATGCTGTTAGACATTTGATGCAGGTGTGTTCAGTTTTACAAAAATAATGCATTTTTTTTCTGAAATGGTATCAATAGACATATTACGATCAGAAAAATAAGAGTTCCTCTTTCTCTACATCCACACTTGTCATTGCTAAGATATATGTATACACACACACACACACACACACAATTTGTCTTTTTGGGTCACACCAGGCAATGCTCAAGGGTTACTTACTGCTGGCTCTGCACTTAGAAATTACTCCTCGTGGTGCTTGTGGAACCATATGGGATGCCAGGGATATCAAACCAGGTTCAGCCACATACAAGGCTAATGCTCTGGTTGCTTGTACTATCACCTTAGCCCCAACACTGCTAAGATTTTTACAATATATTTCCTTCAAATGGTTATTAAATGATATTGCATTGATTTCCAGTTCTCTAATGACATGACAAAGCATCCCTAAGCTCCTACTATTATTATTCTGTATGACTGTTTATAATTCATGTTTTTCTACTGAATATATTTTATGATTCATTTACATAATCTGACAAATCTGCCATACTGCAGTTAACTTTTGTCCTTTCAATTTTAATAATAATAAATAGCTTTCATAAATATATTGCCCAAAATGAGAGAGAGATAAAGAGAGAGGGAGAGAGGGAGAGAGAGAGAGAGAACTTGCAGCATGGAAGGTGGTGGGAGGGAAACTGGGTACATTAGTGGTGGGAAATGGACACTGGTAGAGGGATGGGTATTCAAACACTGTATAACTGAAAATCAACTGTGAAGATTTACTAACCTATTTTTATAGGTAATTTATTTCCTTATTTTCCATATCCTAAAGTCATAGTTTCTCTTACAACATATTCAATTCTATCACATTTAGCATTTACTTTATATGGAAGAGACTTTAACAGGGAACCATACTTTGCTCAGGGATCACTCCTGATAGGTTCAGGGGACCATATGGGATGCCAGAGATTGAACCAGGTGAACCCGTGCAAGGCAGGTGTGCTACCCACTATACTCCAGACCTCCATACTTATTTTATATGAATAACTAAATGTCACACTTCACTAACTTCCATATTTTCCACACTGATCTACAATATTTCTTCTGTCATGTCACATTTCCATACACGCAGAGGTTTCTTTCTGGACTAGCTGATCCTTTTGACCAATGCTCCACACTTTTAAAATTAGTTAATTAAGTCTATCCATTTGACAGACAAGTCCCCTTCAACTCTATTCTTCTCTAGTGTATCTTGGTTATTTTTTTAAATTTTCATTTTGGAGGGCTGGAGCAATAGCACAGCTGGTAGGGTGTTTGCCTTGCATGCGGCTGAACTGGCCGACCCAGGTTCGATTCCTCCGACCCTCTCGGAGAGCTACCAAAAGTAGCTTGCCCCCACGGCAAAGCCTGGCAAGCTACCTGTGATGTGTTCGATATGCCAAACACAGTAACAACAAGTCTCACAATCTTATTGGTCCGGATCAAGAAAATCCAGGAGGACAGTGCTACAGTGTTTCATTTTGGAATCACTTCATCATCTTTTACCAAACACCCACTTAGATTTGTTGGAATGACACTTAATCTATAAATTAAGTTAGGAAAACTGACATGTTCATAATATTTTTTTAGTTTTTTTTTTTCAGTGCAAATGCTTTCTTAAAAAAAAAAGTCTATCAAGATTTTTATTCCTAAGTACCCTTTCCATTGTTGTGATTAAAAACTGTATTACAAAGAAAGAAAAATGAAGGCATCAGAGGATCATTAAGGTAGCCAGACCTTAAGGACCGCAGTCCTATAAAGAAGGGAAGTGTACCAGGAAAGACGGCTGACTTCTATCTTGCAGTCTGAGGGAGACACAAATTACAGGTCAGGGGAAAAGGCTGAGCTCAGAGACAGCAGTGGCCTGCAGCAGTTTCAATAGGTGGGAGAACATTAGAATCTGGGCCTGCCAAGGCAGATAAGATGAGGCCATAAGATGATCACCAGGAGAGGGGATGCCTCAAGAGAAGTAAATCTGACACTGAAATTTCCCCGCTCGGTATCTGTTCACTTTTAAGCAATGCCTGTGCTGGACTAGGTGGTAGGAAACCAAATAAAGCAAGCTGAAGAACAGGTCAAGTATTCTTGCAATTCTGCGACTGCTAGGGAAATACCATCGTCAAAGCTGGGCATCCACCAAGTGAAAGGAATGGTTGGGTAGTTCAGACATTCAGCTGGTTCCTGGGAACAGAAAAGCCCTGATCCTAAAATTAAAGGCAAACCAGAAATAAGGTGCCCAGACCGAAGATTAGACACATCAAGCTGAAAATCAAGATGCTATGACCAAAACAACATTCGATTTTCTTTAATGACAGCAGAAATGGATCTAGACTTCCAGCCTAATCACGAGGATGTCAGTTTTAAGATACAAAAATGTCTTTTAAAATTCAACCAGAGAGCAAAGAAACCTAAATGAACAAAAATTTAAAAAACAAAACAAAACAAAAGGATAGGGTCCTCCTAGGGGAAGAGAAAAACACATGATTCTTTTCATCCGCAACAGAACAGAGCAAGAGAAAGCAGCTACCAATAGGATGAGGGGAATTAGCTGAAGTTTTCACCAATTAGGGGGGGGGGAAAAAGTCATGTGAAGACTAACAAGATAGTTTGGAATCCCAAAGAGTCTCAACTACAAAGAAAGTTAGTATTCACTCACCCACTTTTTCTGAGAATTTCATGGAATGCTTATGTAAAAAACATGGGGTCAGAGAATGAAAGGCCCCCTATGATACACAGATGAACTGAGCCAGGTAATGAATTAGGGCAAAGAACTGCGAATATCCCCTCTGGAAACTTCATCGCCCTTTTGGGAAAGCTGCCTACAGAGCTGAAGATGATGGGCCAAGGAACCCCTCAACGTGCTTCTCTCTGCCTCCATAGTTAAGGGGTACTTCTCCAGGACCTGCTAAAAGGCACAGCAGGTAAATTTATAGAAATCCCGAGTCATTCTGGGTTCCAGGGGTTCCAGGAAGTGGGGGTCCACAGCTGATGGAGGCTCAGAATGAGAGCATTCCCACTCATGCCCAGAGGCAGGCAAGGCCTACTAAGGGCTAAAGACAAAGAGGAGCATCTTTTAAAGTCAGCCTCATCAACTGAATTGCTCACTTAGGTGTTTCCAACACTGCCTTGGTCACACACCATATTTGTTAGTGATGACCAAACCATTCTACTCGTTGACCACAGAGAGGCATTTCTGAAAAACCTCAAATTCATTAAAACTATTACTTTTAATTTACACATGTTATATACATATATATATATATATGTTATATAATATACTAGAATGATTTTTCCATTTGTAATATTGTATGCCTACAACTTGGGCTGGAGCAATAGCACAGCAGGTAGGGTGTTTGCCTTGCATGCAGCCAACCCGGGTTCGATTCCTCCATCCCTCTCGGAGAGCCCAGCAAGCTACTGAGAGTACCTCGCCTGCATGCAAAGCCCGGCAAGCTCCCCGTGACGTATTTGATATGCCAAAAACAGTAACAACAAATCTCACAATTTGTTGTGAGACGTTACTGATGCCCACTCGAGCACATCGATGAGCAAAGGGAGGACAGTGCTACAGTGTGCTACCACTCAGCTTTCAATAATAACTCTGTAAATCACAGATCATTAATCAAATTTTTAAAAAATTGAAAAATTAAGAAAGAATAGCAGCACAGTTTAAGCTTTAAGAATAAGACTTTAAAAAAAATTAGTGGCATTTGATCATAGGTGAAAGAAGATTGAAGGATTGAGGCTGTCAAGCGGAAGGAAGAAGCAAATGGTACTTGATGGGGAGGATCACTAAGTACGTGCCATGACAGCACAAACAGACCAAGAGGCAGGGGACAGAATGAGGATGGGATGGAGGCGGAGGGCTGCTGCCTTCAGTGTGTTCATGTGCTTCATCAACTGTGTTCATTTATCAGCCATGTTTACGCGCTTCATTTTAGCTGCTGTTAGAGGAACTAAGAAACTTATTTACCACTGTCTCATCACTGCCCTATTTGCCAGTCACAAATGAATTAATCCACATTATGAAAACATGTACTTATTCCAATTAAACTAGAAGGTCCTCATGGGCATTTTATGTCTTGTTTCATATATATTAGGCAACTATAAATACCAAAATTATGACTTTTCTTTAAAAGTGAAGAGCATGTTAGCATTTTAAAATACATATTTTAACACTTTGAAACATTAAAATGAAGTCTGCACAACAAAAACTACATGTCCTCTCTCATATTCACACTCATAATAATCCAGATCTCAGCTAATACTAAATAATTAAGTTGAACAGAAAAAAAAAAGACTCTAGTAATTGAAAATAGCCTCCAGGGGCAGGAGAGAGAGAGTTCAAATAGACTATGCAAACCCATCTTTTTTCATGGGAGGTATGGGTTCCACCCTACACACTGCATGGTCCCCAGATCACCCCTTGGAGAGGCCCCAAGTACAGAGCTAGGAGCAGACCACAGCATTACTGGGTATCGTCCAAAAAAAATTTTTTTTTAATTTTAAAATCCTCCAAAATATATTGAGGCTAAGTTTTAGAAAGCAGTTGTCTCAAACACATTCTTATAATACTTAAAATTTAAAAGATCAAGAGAACAAGAGAAATCTGGCAAGACCTTTAAATTAACTACAATAGTATAATAAATAATATGCAAATACTGCTTGTGAGAATCCTGTCTGAGCTGGTCTAAATCTGTACACATCCTGGTGATAAGAAAAATTCATGCTAGCAGACTAGGTTGCAGGCAAAGTCATCTAATAATACTCCCAGGTAAATGTGCCTTTTTCGGCTGATCTTTAATAAATTCAGTACATCAAATTCCACAAAACTCATGTTTTCTATGTTTTTATAGGCAAGAATCTAGGTAGAAGCAATTGTCACCAATATTACTTTATAGTGCTAATTTTACACTAAATAAAAGAGCCAGTGAAGATTTAGAAAGAAGAAATAATTTTCTCAATTATTACCTAACGTCATCCAATGTTTCCTGTATCATGTTCTGAATAAAACGGATTTGTACAGATGTCAATGGTGCATTTGTCAGATTATTTCCAATGGTATCAACTATTTTTTCTGATAGTGAGCTGGCAACTTCAACAGTGACAGATGAAGCTATCTTTGGAACTGAAATAAAAAATGGAAAAAATATTAATAGTCAGCTTAGATGAGAGAAATCAAACATTTCTAAATAAGATTTGGTGTGAGAAAACTTAACATACTAGTAAAGAACATGTTCCTGTGACATTTGGAAAAATTCACTGGAATACAAATCTTACAAACTCTCTATAACATTATTTCTGATACTCATTTATCCATATATAAACTGTCAACTGTCTAATGTAATAACATATGACAGAGGGATTAATCTTGAAGAATCTTTGAACCATTTCCTTTTATAAAAGATGAATGTGACAAGCTGCACCACAAACTAAATAAACCAAGACTATTAAAAACAAACAGAAGAAATATAGAAGTAACGTAGTGCTGCAGGCAAAGTCCCAGAATTTAAGCTAGTGCAATATATCCACAGAAACCTTAAAAAAAAATATAGCTTTCTATATAAAGGAGCTGTTTCTGTACAAAGAGTTGTTTTGTATAGATAACTCTTAAGAGCTGAACCTAATAAACTGGATGAAATCTTTAGGGCCTATGGCATGAACTCTACAGACAGGACATTAATTCAGAAAAATACAAATTCTGATAGCTGATGACACATTCTCAAAGGGTTCTACATTATTATCCTGTATGTGCCATACTAGAGCAAGACTCTTTCATGTCTTTCATTTCAAGACTCATCTCATTGAGCACAGAGCTCAATGAGATGAGAGCATGCCTTCTGTGCCGAAAGGCCTAGATTTGATTCTTGGCACCACATGGCCTGGTCTTCTCTGAGCACCGCTGGGAGAGACACCTATGCATTGAACTGGGTGTAACCCTGGAACACCACCAGGTTTCCTGGGCAAACCTCACTCCTCTCTCACCTACCAAGATGTCACATTTGACTGAAAATAAAATCCAGACCACGAGAACAAATTCACTGTGGTTGAATTTATCCATTCATAAACACTTCATCGTTTTCTGTAAGAGCTGCACAACAGAAGTGTCCATGAACTTAAAGCTTCTGGAAGTTTTATAGTCCTTAATCATTCTATTCATTCTTTCTAATTTAAATAATGTCATTTTCAACTTAACTCTTTTAAACATGAAGTCATTTTATGTACTTACTTGGAGTTGAGGATCCATTGATTGCGGGTTCACATATTATTTGGCTTTCAATTTCTTTCTCTGCCTTTTCAAATTTCTCAGGACTTCGTGTTTGGTTAGAAGACGAAGAGGTATTAAGAATTCCAGATTCCACACCAGAGATCAACTTTGCAAACTTAACATTTAAAATAAAAATATTAGTATATAATTTTTGTTTTTACCCATATTACTCGTACACTATGTATCTACTTTTCTCATTTTATCTCAAACAGATAGGGCCAGGCAAAGGAAAAGAAGAGAATATAAAAGGGAAATATGCTAAGACTTCAGGCAAAAGTCAATCACCTATTTTTCAATGACCTCTGAAAAATAGGTCAAAGATTGAATATCTGTATAACATAATGAGGAAAAGGCCATTTAGTATGCATTTGCTGTTGAGTATAATTAAAAATAATAATCACAGCTCACATTCCACCATTGCTGCCATCTAAGTTCATCTACCAACCTTGTTTCAGACTCAAACTTCAAAAGAGATCAACTAGTCACAAAAAATATCTCAGATACCTGTTCCAGGCTGAAACCTCTGGGGCTATCTCAGAGTTGGGGTGGGCCAGTTCCTGCCAAAACAAAGCTCTGGCAGCTGCTTTCATGCCCCAAGGATGCCACCATGTCTCTGGCCAAACTACCCTGTTAAATATTTTGGATTTTCTGGAGCAATGTGCAAACTCTACAACACTGATATCCCAATAGGTCAAAGATTCCAGATGGATGGGATGTAACGTAGAAGCCAATGAATCTCAACTAACAAAAATATTAACATAGAAGGCTTAACTAGCAACAACAGCTTAAGAAACTCTCAGATAAGGACTTAATATTCCCCACTGTGAGATACAATGCTCAACATTTTCTTCTATGGAAATATTTTTTTAACATTCCATTAGCCATTTGGTGGTAAAAAGCACATATAAAATAAATTATTGTGGGACTACTCTTGGGGCAAGCTTGAGGGGTGATTGGGAAAACGGAGACAATGGGAGAGAGAAGGTGACAGTGGAGGTGGGACTAGTGTTGGAATATTGAATGCCTATAACAAAGCATCATAAACAACTTTGTAAACCATGGTGTTTAAATTAAGTGGTTGGGGCAGGTGGGGGGGGTGTCAAATAATAATCACAGGAAAAGAAAATATTTCTCAAATTCTCATGTGGGAACCAGTTAGAAATATTTGGAAAATAGGTCAAAGACAGCTCTACTTTTTGAATTGATTATTTTCAATTATCATTCTAAAATTAAAAATATGAAAATACAAATATATTTGGACTGGAGAAATAGTATAGTATCAAGACTGACTGGTGTTCAATTCCCAGAACCCCATATGGTCCTGAGCCCTCCCGGAGTGATCTCAGTAGTAAATTCTAAATACAGCCAGGTATGGGCCAAAACTCAAAGAAAAAAAGAAAAGAGAGAAGATAAAAATACAGATCTACTATACATTTAGCCGTCCTGAAAATATTTAATAATTTTAAACACAAATAATAAACTAACTTCTATATAAGATATGGTATCATAGAAAAAGGTAATAATGATGAGTTTTATTTTCTGACAATTTACTCTGAAACTTAGGATGAATGACTTCACCATCAAATTAAAACTTTCTGTTGTTACAATGGAAATTCAAAAAGAATTCTGGTATAACACATTCTTAGAGAGTTAAGAATCTTGTCACAGAGAAAAGTAGGATAAATTTACAGCTGTCATTACTTTCAACATACACATAGATATTACAAAATAGTCTTTTATTTGTATCATGTTGACATCACCATTTAATATTTTTGTACCTTGCTGGTACATATGGGTGTTGGGGACCCAATCCTGGCTGGCTGCGTGCAAAGCTTGTGCCGTAACCATGGTACTATCTCTCCTGCTCCAATTTGAGTATATTACAAAACAATACAGGAAGAAACACCTAATAAAATTTTTAAAGTTGAGGAATAATTGACATGTTCCTTCAGGTGTACAGTATAATTGTTTCAGATTACTGTATTATGGTCTCCAATGAGTAAATTTACCCTGTGTAAATTTTCATACCACAAGAATTGTTCCAATCTATAACTGGTACTCAAAGGTGGGGCTCTGGGTAGTGAATGAATTAGGTATTATACAGCTTAATAGTAGAGCAACGATATATAATGTACAGCATGGACTTCACATAAGGCAGATTCCATTTCATCTCTGCAACAGCACAAGGAACTAAGTGGGAGGAATAACATATTCTTTCCTGGCAGGGTAGCGGACGAGGCAAATTCTCAAGTTAGGGAAGACACCGTGGGCTGGAGGTTCAGGACAGACCCCAGACAGAGAGCTCTAAGAGTGACCCAAGTCTCGTTTCTGTAGCTGATGGCCTGTATAACCTGGGGCGAGTAAGTCACTAGGAAACTTGCTCATAAAGAGTCTGGCAAACTCCCCGTGGCGTATCCAATATGCCAAATACCGGTAACAATGATGGGTCTCATTCCCCTAAAGAGCCTTGAATATAATCTCAGGGCTAGGATGAAGGAGACGTTACTGGGGCCTGCTCGAGGCAATCGATGAGTAACAGGATGATTTGTGATTGTGATTTGTACCTTGCTGGAGCACAACAATAGCACTATCACTAATCACTGCAACACTATCAATAATTAGGACACATCCACTAGCCTGTCTCACTGTGCTTGCTAGTGATAAACCACAATTCAGAATCATTTTCAGGCAGATACCTGTTTAAAGGAGTCTTTAGATTCCTGTTTTCCTAAGTATATTTTCTTAGATTCAGCTGTCAGATCATGATTTTCATTTTCTTCTTTCCCCGGATATCCCATAAAGACATTAAGAGGACTAGAATGCAATACTGAAGTGCTTGAAGCTACTGGGCCTTTTCTTGGAGGAAATACTGAGTTCAACTGTGGCAGAAAATCAAGGGCTGGAAAAAAAAAAGAGAAAGAACACTGCATTTGCTTATGATATTACCTAATTCTGGATATTTAAGAAAAGGATTTAACATGATAGATAATCATATGGTAGAAAGAAGGGATTTGGAGTCAGAAGGCATATTCATTTTTCGGTTCTACCTCTGACTTGATGTGCATTCTTAAGCAAAAAGTATAAAACGGCTTCCTTATTTATAAATGATACTGTACTAGAGATACTATATTGTGCATATACTTAAAAAACTACAGAACACAATAAATGCTTTAGTCAGTGTTAGATTTTGTTACCAGAAAACTGTTCAATTATTAAAGTATACACACACACACACACATACACACACACACACACAGAGTATATTCTAATAACAGCCATTAAGATAACTGTTTTGAAACATGCCCCTAAGTAATCCCTTCCCTTTCAATGAGCCTGTCCAAGTAACTGCTTCTAACAAAGAGAATACAGGCAAAAGTGCTGGGATGTGAATCCCAAAATTAGGACACAAACACACTGTGGTTTCCATGTGCTCAAGTCTCCTCTCTTGCTTTAAGGGAAGTTAGCTGTCACAATGTCAACTGCCATAAGGAGAGACCCACAGAGCAAGAACTTTGGCTAAGAAGTCATATGAACAAGTTCAGAAGCAGCGTCTCATCTCCTCAAGTCTTAAGATGACAGCAGTCTGCAGACACCTGATGAAAAGAGATCTCAAGACAAAAGCACTCAGCTAAGCTAGGCTGAATTCCTTTTTTTAAATTAATTTATTTTATTTTTGCTTTTTGGGTCACATCCAGCAATGCTTAGGGGTTCTCCTGGCTGTGCGCTCAGTAATCACTCCTGGTGGTGCCCTGGGGACCAGATGGGACAACGGGGATTGAACCCGTATCGTAGGCCTGGATTCTTAACCCAAAATTAAGAGATGTTTATTCTTCAAACTTAAAAATGTCGAGGCAATCTATAACACAAACTAGATAATACAAGATCACTTAATTTTTATAAAAGTACTTCAACCATTCTTACCATCTCCTTTGCCTATGGATTCATCACCTCCCTTGTTAACTACTGCATCTGAAACAAAATTAGTAGATTAAGTTTTAAAAACCGAGAAAAAAAGTTCATAGCAATTCAGACTTCCCACTCATTCCCCAAGGAGTTCAGACTCAAGATTTTTAAGGAAAAATATGACTGAAGTTTAAACTAGTACTCATATATATTTCCCTTTTTAACCTTTCAGTTTCATGCACAGTAGCAAATATCAAAAGGTAATTCTATGGTATAGTCATTTAATGAAGCTGGAAGGTATACTATTAAGAACACTTGGAATAGGCTTCAGAAATCTGTAATCCAGTTTTATCTAAACAATCTAATAACTCTGTGACCTTGAAGAAACCTTTACTGTCATTAAGCTTCAACATCTATAAAGAGATAGTACCCTGATCATCTCAAAAGATTATTTTGAAGATCAATGGAAATAAATTTAAAAATAATTTGCAAGTCACAAAAAAATTCACGAGAAATTCAAATTAAGATTATCAAGTATGATTAGCAAATTAGTAGAACTATCATTCATGCATTCATCTGCACATCTATATGTGTGTGTATACCTAATAACTGAACAACACACACAGACTTCAAAAGTTAGGAAGAAGAGAGGTTTCCTCTAAAACAAAAGCAGAGCCATTCTTATTCTTACATAAAGAAACTGAAACATAATTAAAGTCTTTCACCAAAGTAGAGATGCATCTTGAGATTACAACACAAATCTCTAGACAATGAAAAGCAGTATCTGCATCTAACATTTATTTTTTAATTAACAATATTAAACTATAACAAATGAAGTACATATAACTCAATTTCTAATCACAATTTTTAAAATAACAAATTAAAGAGGAATTTTTAAAAAACAAAGTAACTAAAATGGGATTTCACCCTTAATTCCTTTATCTTAAAAGCTATTAAAGAAGATTTCATTTATAACTTAAACTTTCCCCCCAAAACTCCTTCCAACATTCTTCAAATTAGAAAGTTACTCCATTGGTTGTCATGCCAAAACTTTCCAGCTGAGTACCAATCTCAGAAACCTTTCTCAACTTTAGCCCAAATTACTTTTCCCTGCATTGCACACACATCCTTCCTCTTTTTATCTTTAACTAGGTAATCTGAACTCTCTTCAACCTGAAAGAAATGAATCCTTTTTTCATTAAGTGGGAGATAGGGGAACTTGAACTGGTAAAACTCAAGTAGTTGTCTTCTGCTTGGAGTAAAGCAGAAGATACTCAGCAATCTTGTATCATCATATATGTATTCTTTTTGGTTATGAAATTAAATGCAGAAAATAGACCATTTTGTGTAAAAAATAAAATTTATAAGATTATGAGTAGATGTAACAATTTAAACATTTTTCAGTTGATACATTCATTCTAGTTTTATGGTTTGGGGTCTTTTTGTTCAGTTGTTTTTGGACCACATTCAGTCATGCTCAGAGGCTACTCCTGGCTCTGCACTCAGGAATCATTTCTGACGGTGCTGGGGGGACCACATGGAATGGCAGGAATCGAACCTAGTTCAGATGCATGCAAGGCTAGCAATCTACCCACTGTACTATCACTGCAGCCCCTTCTTTTTCATTATTCTGAATAAAATAGCAAACATTAATCTTTATAGTCTACCCTGAGTATTTCCTTGGGTAAAATTATAGAAACAGGTTAGTCTACTTAACAGGCCAGTTTGTCAAACTATTGACAGAAACTTACCCATCTAGTTTTGATAGCATGGCTATAAGTAATAAAACTATAACATTTAAGAAAACGGTCAGAACATAATAAAAAAAAACCTAGGCAATGTGGCTATTGCATAATTGTCTACAATAATATGTTTTCATTTATCAAGGTAGCACAGATATGTAATATTTATATATATATGTATATATATAATTTTTTAATGGAAATTTCTACCCACAGTTGGTAGGAGGAAGGGGAGAAAGGTTTACTCTCATATATTAAATATAAATAAGGCAATCTATCGCCTAGTCATATTTCTCCATGAAAACATTTAACAGTAATTAAATATTAACACTAATTTTTTACGTTAATAAGATAACATTTGGTCTACGAACATGTTCAAGATTTTACTAAGATTTCCTGAAAAGCAGTTAAAAGATTGCCCATGGAGCCAAAACTTTAACGAATTTCTGCAGAAATTAAAATGCTAACATGTAAAAATTACCCGTATACATTCTAGAATGGTAACATTTGAAATAAAAGGGCAAAGGAAAAGAAACCACTCTAGTGACTGAGGAAATTAGCAAACTGTCATGAACACAATTAGACTGAATTTAATACTCAGAGTTTTTAAGCTAGACTAGAAATGGCTGAGAGCAAGAGAACACAATCCAAAGATTTAAACAGACTTACCATCTCTAACAGGGGAGAACATGTCACCTAAACTACTGTTTTTAGTATCATCAAAACTGGAGAAATTCTGATTTTTCCCAGTGTCTATATCCTTAGATAAAATATCTGTGTTTATGCTTTGAGGCAAACCTAATAGAAAAAAAGATAGGAAAATTAGTGTACATCAAAAGTTCAGTTCTAAAAATTATCATCCAATTTGTTGTTATTAGTACAAATGTGTCAGAAAAAGAAAGCAGATTATACCTCAGCAATTATCATTTTATTTTTTTTAATTTTTATTAGTGATAGCACAGCAGTAGGGTGTTTACCTTGCACGCAGCCAACCTGGCCCAGCCGGGTTCGATTCCTCCACCCCTCCCAGAGAGCCCGGCAAACTACTGAGAGTATCTCACCCGCACGGCAAGGCCTGGCAAGCTACTCATGTCGTATTCAATATGCCAAACACAGTAACAACAAGTCTCAAAATGGAGACGTTACTGGGCCTGCTTGAGCAAATCGATGAAGTACGGGAGGACAGTGTTTGTTTTATTAGTGAAACACCATGAGGTATAGTTTTTTATGGATTGGGGAGTTCCCTAAAAGTAAATGACTTATTTAAATCACACAGCACTATTTCATTTTATCAAATTTTTATGTATTTTTCTACAATTATTTAACATATCTTGAAATTCCCCTTAAAGTATATAGAGCATAACTTAACTTTGACACTGACTAACATACCCATATGATCATATATAAATGTTCCTTAAAAGCCTGTAAGGCAAATATTGTAGTGTTCATTTTAGGTCCTCCCAATTTGTAGTAAATGGATCTGTTTTCTTCTGCCTATTTCTTTGTTAATAGTGAGAAATTAACTTTTATTCAGCATTATTAATTTCAGCATTAAATATTCAGTTAAAATCATAGTAGTTTTAGTAAGAGAAAGGAAGCCACAACAGCAAAATCATTAATAGTAGACAACACTCTCTCTCCCTCTACATATGTATGTATATATTATATATAATTTTTAAAACAACAATATACTAACAGATCTACTCAACAAATTACATGATGCTCACATTTACTCTTCCTGTCATTCTGTGAGAACGGGTGAAATAGACAGGGAGCAACCTTCAGATTAAACCCTCAGCATTTTCCAGAGGGATTGGTTAACTATAAAGACTCAGCTCCAGAATAGCAAGAACACTACATAACCAAGAGGGGAAAGACCCTTTTAACCATTCACTATTGAGTCTGCCAAGCTCAATGAGCAAAAACAGTTATCACCAAAAACTTAACACCAGTAAGTCCTCAGAGAGTGACTTTATTTAATTTTATGTTTTTTTTAATTGAATCACCGTGAGCTACACTTACAAAACTTTCGTGTTTGAGTTTCAATCATACGATGCCTGAACACCTATCTCTCCACCAGTACAGATTTTCCACCACCAATGTCCCCAGTTTCCCCTCCTCGCCCCAGCCATCTCACTGCCTCTATAGCAGACAACTGCTCTCCCTCCGCCCTCCCCCTCCTTCTCTCTCCCCTCCTTATGGGTCTTATGGGATGCACATTACAGATAATGAGAGGCCATCATGTTTGGTCTTTATCTATTTTCAGCACACATCTCCCATCTTGAGCGATATCTCCAACTATCATTGACTTAGTGATCCCTTTTCTATTCCAGCTGCCTTCTCCCCCATCTCATCTTGGCCTTTGTCTCTACTATCCTTGGGTGTTAGTCTCATATTACAGTATTTTATATTCCACACATGAGTGTAGTCATTCTATGTCTGTCCCACTCTTTCTGATTGATTTCACTTAGCAGGATACTCTCCATGGCCATCCACTTATAAGCAAATTTCATGCCTTTGTCTTTCCTCACAGAATTCCATTGTGCATAGAATTCCATTGTGTAGATGTACCAAAGTTTCTTTAACTAGTCGTCTGTTCTCAGGCAACGGGTTGTTTCTACATTCAGACAGTGTCTTTAGTGATGAGAATGTTCAATCAGTTCAAAGAAATGAGAGCACAGGTAGTCAGCAAAGCACAAGAAAATATAAGTCAAAATGGAAAAAAACAAACTCTACTTTAGTCAGAAATAAATAATACAGCAGGTGATATTTTAAAATGCTCTGGATAGCAGAATAACAGAAGCTGAGCAAAAAATTGAGGGGCTGGAGTGACAGCTTAGTGGGTAGGGTGTTTGCCTTGCACGCGGTTGACCCAGGTTCGATTCCATGCATCCCATATGGTCCCCTGAGCACTACCAGGGGTAATTCCTGAGTGCAGAGCCAGGAGTAACCCCTGTGCGTTGCAGGGTGTGACCGAAAAAGCAAAAAAACTTTCATATTGAAGAGTCTAGCCCAGATGACACCAACAGTACTGTAGTGTTAGACAACCTCTCTGACAAGGAATTCAGAAGGGAGCTACTTAGGATGCTTAGGGAACTAAAAGAAACAATGGAAACCAATGCCAATAGAAGACAAGAGGATCTGAAGGCAGAAATGAGGAAAATACAATCAGAAATGTCAGACCTGAAAAATCTTGTAGGCGAATTGAAAAGCTCAGTGGAAGGCCTCAGCAGCAGAGTAAGAGCTGCTGAGAACAGAATCAGTGAGCTCGAAGATGAAGTTCAGAGACTCTCCAGAAAAGAGCAGAAAATGGAAAAGAGACTCACAATTCGGGAACAGATGGCAAGAGAAGATCGTGATGAAGCCAAGAGGGGTAACATAAGAATTATTGGAGTCCCAGAGGTACAGGAAGAAAACCTTGATGAAGAAGAAACTGTCAAAGACATCATTGCTACAATGTTTCCAGAGCTGAAGAAAACTTGTGACCACATTCAGGAGGCCCGAAGGGTACCAGCTAGAAGAAATCCGAATAAAAATACCCCAAGACACATTCTGATCAAAATGACCAAAACCTTAGACAGAGACAAAATTCTGAAAGCAGCAAGATCGAAGAAAGAAATCTCTTACAAAGGAGCATCCTTAAAATTCACAGCTGATTTTTCTGATGAAACCCTCATGGCCCGAAAACAGTGGTGGGACATAGTGAAAAAACTCAATGAAATAAATGCCTTCCCAAAAATACTTTTCCCAGCGAGACTCTCATTCATAATAGAAGGAACAACACACAGTTTCAGACAAACAACAGCTCAGGAACTTCATAGACTCAAAACCATGGTTACAAGAACAACTAAATGGGCTACTTTAAGGCAAGAAAGGCCCCTCAAATACACCAAATTTTAACAGAACAATGGGACAAAATCCCATAACAATAATCTCTCTCAATGTCAATGGGCTAAATGCACCAATTAAAAGACATAGAGTGGCAGGATGGATTAGAAAATTGAACCCAACATTCTGCTGCCTGTAAGAAACACATCTCAATAGTCAAAGCAAACAAAGACTCAGAGTCAAAGGCTGGAAAACAATCCTACAGGCAAACAGCTCCCATAAAAAAGCTGGGGTAGCCATCCTTATATCAAACCACATCGATTTCAGAGTGAAGAAGGTCATAAGAGACAGTGAAGGCCATTTCTTATTGATCAAAGGATCTGTGAAACAGGAAGAACTTACAATAATAAATGTATATGCACCTAATGAGAGACCAGCAAAGTACTTAAAACAACTACTCATAGATTTGGAAAAAGACATCAATAGCAACACAATACTAGTGGGAGACTTCAACACTGCTTTGTCACCTCTTGATAGATCAACCAGACTCAAGCTTAGCAAGGACATACTTCATTTGAGGGAAACAATGGAAGAAAGGGACTTAGTAGATATATAGAGGACACTTCATCCACAAAAAGCTGAATACACATTCTTCTCAAGCGTACATGGAACATTCTCCAAGATAGACCACATGCTGAGCCACAAAACATGCCTCCATAAAATTAAGAAGATAGAGATTATATCAACAATCTTCTCAGACCATAATGCGCTGAAATTAGAGGTAAATCACACACAAAAACAGAAAACTAAATCAAACACCTGGAAATTAAACAGTGCACTATTGAACAACGAGTGGATTAGACAGGAAATCAAAGAGGAAATCAAAAGATTCCTAGAAACAAATGAAAATGAGAAAACGAGTTACAACAACTTATGGGACACAGCAAAAGCTGTGTTAAGAGGAAAGTTTATAGCTCTACAAGCATTCCTCAGGAAGGAGGAGCGAGCACACATAAGTAACCTAACCTCACAGCTTAAGAGCTTGGAGAAGGACCAAAAAAAGGAGCACAACCCGAACAGGAGAAAGGAAATAATAAAACTCAGAGCAGAGATTAATGAGATGGAAACCCAAAAAACAATCCGAAAGATCAATGAAACCAAGAGCTGGTTCTTCGAGAAAATTAACAAGATCGATAAGCCTCTAGCAAAACTCACAAAGAAAGGGAGAGAGAAAACCCTAATAAACCGAATCAGAAATGAAAAGGGGGTCATTACAACAGAAACTACAGAAATTCAAAGGATCCTCAGGGAGTACTTTGAGAAGCTTTATGCCACGGAACATCAAAACCTCGAGGAAATGGATAAATTCCTAGACTCCTATAGACTCCCAAGGCTGAACCAAGAAGACCTGGAATACCTGAACAGACCTATCACCATCAAGGAAATTGAAATGGTAATAAAAAGTCTCCCCAAGCACAAAAGTCCTGGCCCGGATGGATTCACTAGTGAATTCTTCCAAATCTTTAAAGAGGACTTACTCCCAATGCTCTTTAAGCTTTTCCACGAAATTGAAATATCAAAAATACTTCCGAACAGTTTCTACGAAGCAAATATCACACTGATACCAAGCAGACAGAGATACCACAAAGAAAGAGAATTACAGACTGATATCCCTGATGAACACAGATGCAAAGATCCTCAACAAACTACTAGCAAATAGAATCCAACTACTCATCAAAAAGATCATACACCATGACCAAGTAGGATTCATCCCAGGGATGCAAGGATGGTTTAACATTCGAAAATCAATCAACATAATCCATCATATCAATAAAAGAAAAGATAAAAAGCATATGATTATATCAATAGATGCAGAGAAAGCATTTGACAAAATCCAGCACCCCTTTATGATGAAAACCCTAGCCAAAATGGGTATAGAGGGGACCTTCCTCAACATAATTAAAGCCATCTACCACAAGCCTACAGCAAGCATCATCCTCAATGGGGAAAAACTGAGAGCCTTCCCTCTAAGATCAGGGACGAGACAGGGATGCCCACTATCTCCACTGCTGTTCAATATAGTACTGGAAGTACCTGCAATAGCGATTAGGCAAGAAAAAGATATTAAGGGCATTCAGGTAGGAAAGGAAGAAATCAAGCTCTCACTATTCGCAGATGATATGATACTCTACTTAGAGAACCCAATAACCTCCACCAAAAAACTCCTAGAAACAATAGACTCGTATAGTAAAGTTGCAGGCTATAAAATCAATACCCAAAAGTCCATGGCTTTCCTATACGCAAACAGTGAGAGAGAAGAAAGCAACATGAAAAAAACACTCCCGTTCACAATTGTGCCCCAGAAAATCAAGTACCTAGGAATCAGCTTAACTAAGGAAGTAAAGGACCTGTACAAAGAAAACTACAAAACGCTACTTCAGGAAATAAAAGAAGACATGAGGAAATGGAAAGATATCCTCTGCTCATGGGTCGGGAGACTTAACATTGTCAAAATGGCAATACTACCGAAAGCATTGTATAAATTCAATGCAATTCCTATAAGGATACCCATGACATTCTTCAAAGAAATGGAGCAAACACTCCTGAAATTTATATGGAACAATAAGCCCCCACAAATAGCTAAAGCAATTCTTGGGAAAAAGAAAATGGGAGGAATCAACCTCCCGAACTTCAAACTGTACTACAAACAGTAATAATTAAAACAGCATGGTACTGGAACAAAGGCAGAACTGCAGACCAATGGAACAGGGTTGAATACACTGACAACTCCCCTCAATCATATGATCATCTAATCTTTGATAAAGGTGCAAGTAATGTGAAGTGGAGTAAGGAAAGCCTCTTTAATAAATTGTGCTGGCATCACTGGACGGCTACATGCAAAAAAATGGGCTCAGAACTCTGCCTAACACCATGTACAAAAGTAAGATCAAAATGGATTAAAGACCTCAACATCAGACCAGAAACCATAAGGTACATTGAAGACAAAGTTGGCAAAACCCTCCATGACATTGAAGCTAATGGTATCTTCAAAGATGCCACGCCACTGGCCGAGCAAGTGAAAACAGAGATAGATAAATGGGACTATCTTAAACTAAGAAGCTTCTGCACCTCCAAAGAAACAGTGACCAAAATACAAAGACAGTCTACAGAATGGGAAAGGATATTCACCGAATACACATCTGACAAGGGGTTGATATCCAGGATATACAAAATACTGGTTAAACTCCACAAGAAGAAAACATCCAACCCCTTCCAAAAATGGGGCAATGAAATGAACAGAAACTTTCTCAAAGAAGAAATCCGAATGGCAAAAAAACACATGAGAAAATGCTCTACATCATTAATCATCAGGGAGATGCAGATCAAAACCACAATGAGATACCATCTCACACCTCACAGACTGGCCCACATTCAAAAGAACAAAAGCAACCGATGCTGGCGCGGATGTGGCGAGAAAGGGACACTCCTTCACTGTTGGTGGGAATGTCGACTGGTTCAGCCCTTCTGGAAAACAGTATGGACGATTCTCAAAAAATTAGAAATTGAGCTCCCACTTGACCCAGCAATACCACTCCTGGGAATATATCCCAGAGAGGCAAAAATGTATAGTCAAAGTGACATCTGCACTTGTTTGTTCATTGCAGCACTCTTTACAATAGCCAGAAACTGGAAGAAACCTGAATGCCCAAGAACAGATGACTGGTTAAAGAAACTTTGGTACATCTACACAATGGAGTACTATGTAGCTGTTAGAAAAGATGAAGTCATGAAATTTACATACAAGTGGTACAATATGGGAAGTATCATGCTAAGCCAAATGAGTCAGAAAGAGAGGGATAGACATAGAAAGATTGCATTCATCTGGGGGATATAAAGTAACAAAATATGAGATTAATACCCAAGAATAGCTGAGATCAGCACCAGGAGCATTACTCCATAACTTAGAGGCCAGCCGGGTATCCTAGAGGAAAGGGCAGTTTAGATAGAGAAGGGAGCACCAAATAATGGGTGTTTGGAGGATCCTCCCAGGAGGGGAGATGCATGTCGAAAGTAGACTATGGACTGAACATGTTTGCCACTCAATGCCTCTTTTGCAGATCACAACACCCAAAAGGAGAGAGAGAACACAGGGGATTGCCCTGCCACAGAGGCAGGGGGGGTTGGGGGGATGGGGTTGGGGGGAATATTATCCATGGTGGTGGAAAATGGGCACTGGTGGAGGGATGGGTATCTGATCATTGTATAATCGAAACCCAAGCACAAAAAATTGTAAATCTACAACTGTACCTCATGGTGTTTCACTAATAAAAAAAAAAAAAAGAAAAAATAATGCTTTTCTTCTCATTTACTTTTCCTGTTTTATTAAGAAAAATTGTCATATAACATGTACTAAATTATCAACAGGCAGTAATGGTTTAATACATAAAAATACAGTCAAATGATTATCATTAATTTTTTCTTATAATGAGAGCTTTTACAATATTTTTGGCAACTTAGAATATGCAACAGTATATTGCTGCTATAGGAAATAATAAGGAACAAAGGGAAATTCAACAAACAAAGGGAACTAGCCACATCCCTGGCTCATTAGTTTTTCAAATTAGCAATTTGGATGAGATGATTTTAAAACACCCTTCAGATCACACATCGTGCAATTCAAGATGTTCCCTTTATACTAGTGATGTTTAACCTATGGGAATAATAATGTTGGCATGAAAATATTAGAAAGTATTTTATTTGTCCTCTTGGTCCCAAATGAAAACTGGGATAAAAATAAAGAACAGCCTGTATATTTAAAATTATCCAAGCCTGCCTAATGAGGTAAACTTTAATAATACCTATTAGAAAGATAAATATACCAAGCATTTGTATATCATTGTTACTGATGACTGCTTATACCCAGAGTGAAACTATTTTAAAGAAGAAATGTCACCTCCTATTTTCTAGGCCATCCTCATGTTTTAACATTAACAACTCTAGTCTTTAGAACTAAGGAAAAGAAACCATTACTTAAAAATACTGCTCTTCTCACACAACTGGAAATATGCACAAGCAACAAATGAGTACACAATATCTAAATAGATGCCTTCAGTCCAGCATCATGAACTTTTCTCAAACTATTTTCATTGAATGTTTACCATAAATATATAATCGCAATCGTACACAGTGAAGACATTACAATACTGTAAGTCATTGAGTAAACTCAGGGTGCCAACACTTCTGATATACTATCTCCTATTTAAGTTACCTAAACATTAAACAGTATCAATGCAAGGGAACAGCATGACTAAAAGTGTGCAGGAAAGCTACCCAAACTCAGACAGGCCTGCCCAAAATACTCTCAAGGTTTCAGTCTTGTTCTAAAACACTCTCAATGTTTCTCTCTCTCCTCTCCCGCAGCCTTTCCCTCTCCCTCTACCCCTCTTACTCTCCCTCTCCCTCCCTCCGAAAAAGAGAAGGTATATGGCAGATCAAATAAATGTGGTAATATTTATAAAATGGTGAAAATATCTGATGTACAGAGTCGTATTTCTTACAACTGAAGCTCAGCTATTAAATAAGTGGAGTATATTTCATTTAAAAAATAACAACAATCAGTTATATCCTTTCCTAAGGAAAGAACTAAGAATTTTACCTCAAGATTTTTGTAGTGAATTTCAATTCTCAGTCTTGAAGAAAGTGCTATTCCACGTATTTGGGAGCGGGGAAGGACAGGAAGGTGGGAAATACTAAAGTGTGAGACCACATTTACCTGCTTTGTCTTGAACAGCAACTGCTTCCTTTCCCACAATCGTTGTCATGGGCTGTGGTAGAACTGTGGTGATGGAAGAGACTGTCCCTTCTCTGACAATTCCAGAATTCTGAAGTCCACCACTGACATTAACAGTTCGTTTGCTCACAGCTGTGGGCTTATTTGTACTGCCTTTACTTAAACTGGACTGAAATGTAATGAAATATTTAAAAGCTCAGGTTTCTAATGTAACATACTATATATGAATACTTTATAAATCCCCCATTAAACAATACATATATTTTCTCTTACAAACGTTAAGCTTGCTGGTATGTCTGAGAGTTCTCTCTGAACAAAAAAGCAGTACTTTCAATGTATATTTGAAAAGAAAACTAAGGATTAAAATAAAACTTCCAAAAACTTTTAGAACTAAGTGAAATTTAAAGTAAAATGCTTTCCTCACAGGAAAATGATTCTGAAGCAAAACCACTCTATGTTTAATATAAAATGTCCATATCTGAACTAATTTATTTAGTAAAATCAAGGATGTCAAAAAATGGAAGAAAATACCTTACCTTAGAAAAACCAGTAGAGTACTGAAATGCTATACACTGCACAGATGTCTTGTGAGCACTGATGGTTTTCACTGGTGATGATTTCAACATTCTTAAATCATACTGATATATTTTCCCACGGGAAGATCCAATAGCCAAAGTGGCTCCATCTGGCATGAAATCCACTGCAGTCAGAGGCGAATCGGCCACCAATGTTTTCACTAGTCTTTGGAGAGGAAAATAGGGTACTGGTCGATATGTGAACATACTAAGATGTATAAACCAAAACTAGAATTTGACAAAGAGCATACATATATTCCAAATACCTATTGAAATCAGAAATCTAGAAGTAGATTTAATTCAGTGACATGTAGAAAAATGAACACTTCACCCTATGTCTTGATTCACCTCTAATAGGCAAATGCTCTATCTTCTAGGGGTCATTTCTTTAATTATTACTTTCAGAGTTCACAGAATTCCTGGGCAGCACTCTAAAAACAAGGGCCTGTCCTAAGGGTTTAGGAGGCTCTTAGGGTAAGTCTTATTGCATTTATTGACCTGCTTAGGTCTCAGGAGTACTATGACCTTTCACAGGGGAACAGCTGCTACTAAGATCTTGACTGTGCATCTCCCCACCACAATGATACAGAGTCCCTGTGGCTCAAGACTCAGGAATCAAATGTAGAAATACACATACTGAGGTACTGCAGCTGAGGTCTTTGCTAGAGTGGCTGGGATGAGAGGAAAGACTTACTGAATTTAAGGTTCTCTGTCTGTGATTTTTAAAAGACAAAGGAGCTAGTAACACAACAGTAGCCTGAGACTTCAACATCACCTTCTCACCTCTGGATAGATCAACAAGAACAAAACTCAGCAAAGAAACATTGGCTTTGAATGAAGAAATAGGAGAGGGCTAATATACCTAAACAGGGTTTTACACCCCCCCCCAAAAAATAATACACATTCTTCTCCAGTGCACACGGAACATTTTCCAAAATACACCACGTGCTAGGCCACAAAAAATACCTCAATAGAATAAGGAAGATAGAAATAGTATTAACAATTTTTTCAGACCACAATGCACTTAAGAGAGAAGTGAATCACACACAGACACGGAGAACCAAATCAAACACCTGGAAATTAAACAACTCAATGTTGAACAAAGAGTGGGTCAGGAAGGAAGTCACGGACGAAATCAAAAGATACCTGGAAACAAATAAGAATGAAGACACAAGCTACCAGAACCTATGGGCCGCAGCTAAAGTCATGTTAGGGGAAAATTTATAGCTCTGCAAACATTTCTCAGGAAGGAAAAAAGGCCCCATAAAAACAATTTGACTTCACAGCTCAAGTTCTCAGAAAAGGACCAACAAAAGGAGCCCAAACCAGGCAGAAGGAAAGAGATCATAAAACTTAGAGTAGAAATCAACAACATGGAAACCCAAAAAAACAATCCGAAAGATCACTGAAACCAAGAGCTGGTTCTTCGAAAAAATAAACAAGATAGATAAACCACTAGCAGGACTCACAAAGAAAGACAGAGAGAGGACCAAATAAACTGAATCAGAAATGAGAAGGGGTACCTCACAACAGAAACCAAAGAAATTCAAAAGATCATCAGAGTCTACTTTGAAAGTCTGTATGCCACAAAACAAGAGAACCTAGAAGAAATGGATAAATTCCTGGATTCCTATAATCTCCCAAGGCTGAATCAAGAAGATCTAGAATAGCTGAATAGACCTATTAACATCAAGGAAACAAACTGTAATCAAAAGTCTTCCCAAAAACAAAAGCCCAGGTCCAGATGGATTCACTAGCAAATTTTTCCGAATATTTAAAAGGGACCTATTGCCAGTTCTTCTCAAGATTTTCCAGGAAATTGAAGAAACAGAAACTTTCCCAAACAGTTTCTATGAAGTCCATAACTCTCTAATACCAAAAGGAAACAAAGACACCACAAGAAAAGAAAACTACAGGCCGATATCCCTGATGTACATGGATGCGAAGATTCTCAACAAAATACTAGCAAACAGAATTCAACTCATCAAAAAGATCACACACCATAACCAAGTGGCATTCATCCCGGTAATGGAAGGATGGTTTAACATTCGAAAATCAATCAACATAATCCATCATATCAACAAAAGATAAAAACCATATGATCATATCAATATATGCAGAGAAAGCATTTGACAAGATCCAGTACCCATTTATGATGAAAACCCTCACAAAAATGGGGATAGAGGGAACTTTCCTCAATATAGTTAAAAGCCATCTACCACAAGTCTACAGCAAGCATCATCCTCAATGGGGAAAAACTGAGAGCCTTTCCTCTAAGATCAGGGACAAGGATGCCCACTCTCTCCACTGCTGCTCAATATAGTACTGGAAGAAAAAGGCAGGCAAGAAAAAGATATTAAGGGCATTCAGGTAGGAATCAAGCTCTCACTATTCGCAGATGATATGATACTATACTTACAGAACCCTAAAACCTCTACCAAGAAACTCCTAGAAACAATAGACTTGTACAGTAAAGTAGCAGGCTATAAAATCAATACCCAAAAGTCCATGGCTTTCCTATATGCAAATAATGAGAAATGACATGAAAAAAACAATCCCGTTCACAACTGTGCCCCAGAAAATCAAGTACCTAGGAATCAGCTTAACCAAGGAAGTAAAGGAACCTGTATAAAGAAAACTACAAAACACTACTTCAGGAAATAAAAGAGAACATGAGGAAATGGAAAGATATTCCCTGCCCATGGATCGGGAGAATTAACATTGTCAAAATGGCAATACTTCCCAAAGCACTGTACAAATTCAATGTGATCCCTATAACGATACCCATGACATTCTTCAAAGAAATGGAGCAAACACTCCTGAAATTCATATGGAACAATAAGCCCCCACGAATAGCTAAAGCAATTCTTTGGAAAAAGAAAATGGGAGGAATCAACCTCCCCAACTTCAAACTCTACTACAAAGCAGTAATAATTAAACAGCATGGTAGTGGAACAAAGGCAGAACCGCAGACCAGTGGAACAGGGTTGAATATACTGACATCTCCCCCCAAACATATGATCATCTAATCTTTGATAAGGAAGCAAGAAATGTGAAGCAGAGCAAGGAAAGCCTCTTTAACAAATTGTGGTGGCAAAACTGGACAGCTACAAACAAACAAAAAAAAAGGGCCCAGATCTCTACCTAACACCATGTACAAAAATAAAATCAAAATGGACTAAAAACTTCAACATTAGATTGAAATCCATAAGGTACACTGAAGACAAACAAGGTTGGAAAAATTCTCCATGACACTGAAACGAACGGTATCTTCAAAGATGACACACCACTGGACAAGCAAGTGAAAACAGAGATAGACAAGTGGGACTATCTTAAACTAAGAAGCTTCTGCACCTCAAAAGAAACACTGACCAAAAGACAAAGGCAGTCTACAGAATGGGAAAGGATATTCACCCAATATCCATCCGACTAGGGGTGATATCAAGAATATAGAAAGCACTGGTTGAACTCCACAAGAAGAAAACATCCAACCCCATCAAAAAATGGGGTGACAAAATGAACAGAAACTCTCTCAAAGAAGAAATTCAAATGGCAAAAAGGCACATGAGATAATGCTCTACATCACTAATCATCAGGGAGATGCAGATCAAAACAACAATAAGATATCATCTCACACCGCAGAGACTGGCCCACATACAAAAGAACAAAAGCAACTGGTGTTGGCATGGATGTGGTGAGAAAGAGACCCTCCTTCACTGCTGGTGGGAATGCCAACTAGTTCAGCCCTTTTGGAAAACAGTATGGAGGATTCTCAAAAAATTAGAAATTGATCTCCCATTTGACCCAGCAATACCACTTCTGGGAATATATCCTGGAGAGGCAAAAAAAGTACAGTCGAAATGACATCTACACTTCTGTGTTCATTACTGCACTGTTCACGGTCACAGTCCTCCCGTTGTTCGTCGATTTGCTCGAGCGGGCCCAGTAACATCTCCGTCATGAAACTTCTTGTTACTGTGTTTGGCATATTGAATACATCACGGGGAGCTTGCCAGGCTTTGCCGTGGGGGCGAGATACTCTCGGTAGCTTGCCGGGCTCTCCGAGAGGGGCAGAGGAATCGAACTCGGGTCGTTCACAATAGCCAAAATTTGGAACAAACCCGAGTGCCTGAGAACAGATGACTGGTGAAACAGATTTTGGTACATCTACACAATGGAATACTATGCAGCTGTTAGAAATGATGAAGTCATGAAATTTACATACAAGTGGTTCTACATGGAAAGTATTATGCTCAGTGAAATGAGCCAGAAAGAGAGGGACAGACATAGAAATACTGCATTCATCTGGGGACTATAAAGTAACAGAATGGGAGTCAAACACCCAAGAATAGTTAAATAGAAGGAGGTCTGCTCCATGGCTTGGAAGCCGGCTTCACACACTGGGGGAAAAGGCAGCTTAGATAAGAGAAGGGAACACCAAATAAAGGATGTTTGGAGGACTCACTCGGGATGCGGATGAGTGCTTAAAGTAGACCATAGACCGAACATGATAGCCACTCAATACCTCTATTGCAAACTACAACACCCTAAAGGAAAGAGTGAGAAAAAGGGAATGCCCTGCCACAGAGGCAGGGTGGGGTGGGGGTATTAGGTGTGGAGGTGGGAAGGCTACTAGGATCATTGGTGAAGAATGTGCAAAGGTGGAGGAATGGGTACTCGACCATTGTATAACTGAAACCCAAGCATGAAACTTTGTAAGTCTACAACTGTACCTCATGGTGTTTCGCTAATAAAAAATAAATAAAAAAAAAGACAAAGGAAAAAAGAAATGATGTAAGTAACAAAAAGTGAAAACAGGCCCTTTCCAAGACACCACTTTGTTCCACATAATCTTTCACATTGCTGGTATTGAGCATACCTGTAGCACTCTATTGGCATTTTGTTTCCTCTTTTTCTTTTCAAAGCTAAACAAGCCCACCTATAAGTGTAAGGAGGACAAAAAGGCCCAAGGGATCCATGCAGAGGGATTCAAAGATTCTGTACCCCTTAGCTCTACAGCAGTGGTTGTCAAAGTGTCCAGTTTTGTCTCCAAACCACCTGGAACAGTTTAAACTGTCACAACCAGGAGAAGGGAGTGTCACTAGAAAAGCAGGTGGAAGCCACAGAAAATGAATAACAATGCTTAAGAGAGCTGCCCACAACCAAGAACAACATAGCTTACAATGTTAATAGTTTTAGATGATGAGTTAATCAGAAGGGATATTAATAATATTGCTGAATATGTCAATGTATATAGGTGAAAGTATCAGTATGAAGACATGAATGCAAAATAAAGATGGGAAGTCATTAACGTGCCATCCCTCTACCGTCACAATCTAAAAATGCTGCAAAGCAACGGTTTTAAATCACCAGTCATCCTACCAGTACAGGGTTGCAGAAATTTCCTGCCATTAATGAAAAAGTGATTGTCCTTTAACAGGATACCCAGAACACACAGAAGTGGCAATACTTTCTCACATACTAGCAGGAAATTTGTGGGGCCCAGCAGCTGAAAACCACTGTGCTTGGAAATATACAAACTTCACCAATTTTTCTCCGTAAGAGAAAAGAGAAAATTCTGTCTGATTTAGATAAATAGGCGAACTTTATGTCCCCTAAACATTAATCAGAGGCCTATACAAATTACAAATATGTCTGTTAATGAGATAATTATAACTGCTAAATTTAAAAAAATGAAGGCTATACTTACTTCTTACTTGAAGTGTCATAAAGAATGATCCTTTTATCCAAGCCTATAGTTACAAACAGCAGTTCATTGACAGGAGAAAAACAAATGCCTGAGGCTGGCGCTTTGTGTGTAGTGTCAAAGTTATGGTAGGGGCTCTGACTATTTATATCCCAGAGAGTTACGATTCCGCTATCAAAAACGCTGCCCAAGAGCGACTTCTTAAATGAGGAGTACTTCAAGTGCCGAACAGACTATAAGAATAAGAATACATTTCATGGATTATAAGCATTCATAATAAACATTCAAAAGAACGGTTTGCATAAGTTATTTAAGTGCCAACTATACTATCATGTGAAATTTCCAGTTTGTCTATTTAAGGAATACCATGTTTTAATCATGACAATTTTAAGTACCAATATTCTAATAACTGAATTTCTGTTATTATCAACCTACCAAAACATAAAGCAAAACAATCTTTGAAAGATCTTTGCAGACTTGAAGAGCCCAAATAATTATGGTACTTTACATGACCTAAATTTAGATTACAAGCAGAATAATGATAAAAAAAAAAAATTAACAGCGTAAAACCATAGACATGGTAGACTGTTAAAAGTTTATCAAGTTCAAAGTGTTTAAAGCATAGCTATCTCAGTCTTCCCTTTTTCAGAGAAACACATATTAAGATTAACTAGATTAATATAACAGTTAGGAAATCCATAATAAACAAAATTACTAGTCACAGCCAAGTAAACAAGTATGAGAATAATTAGGCAGAATAAACAGAATATTCACCTTTATTTTTATTTCTGTATCTATTTAAAATATTTTGATATACTTTTTTGAATATCTATCTGATCACCCAATGTTCTGGCAATTCAGCACTAGTGGCATAATTAAAAATTAAACACAAAGAAAGAATTGACCAGACTTAGACTGGGGGTGGATTGTTACCCTTTCTTTCAAAAGCATCAGCCTAAGAGCTATGCTGCCCTTTTTCCAACAACTGTCCCAAGGGACAGTGGAGACATTCTAGTCCTGCTAGACGAGAATACATTTCAGTTTTTGAGTAGATGGGTCCTGAATTAAAACTGGTTGAATCTGATCTACTTTTACTAAAATGGCTCTTTCAAATCACAATAAACATTAACATTTACTGTGATGAGAATGAAGTATTTTATATTTAAACTCATTTTTGCCTACAAAGGTCTATGAACAGCAAAAGAGAATTTAAAATTAAGAATATATAAGGGGAAACTGGATACTAAAGAAAACTTTGAGGCTACATTCCTGAATTAAGCAATGAATTGGGTTCTATGAGCATGTATTAGCTTTCCACTCAAGTGCAAGATAAAACTGGCATAGAACTGAAGTCAAATTATGTGTCTGTTTAATCTTTCACATTTCAAAAGGATTCCAACCACAACTAGGCTTTAGATATCAAAACCTCATACTCTACTTCTGTCTGCAAAGTACTGTACGTTAGCTATTGACAACAAAAAATATTTAGGATTATTATAAAATTATCTAAGGAAACAAAGTGAGCAACTGTTACCAAATACCTGAACCAAGGTAACTGCTACAGCCATTGAAGCTGGCTCCACACTTTAATTTGATTCAAGTGAACATGAAACTAATGATTTAATTTTGTTGAAAAAAAAAACAAAAAAACCTCATTTTTGTTGAAAAGTATATCAATTGGAATAGATAAATTTTCCTTCTAGTCTACACTAAAACAAACAAGCAAAAATACCATAAAAGACAGAACTTCTTAGTGAATTACTAAGCTTACGGAGTAAACCATGAGCCTACCAAAACATAAAGCAAAATATTAATTTTTGAAATATTTTTTTCAGGACTTTAAAAGCTCAAACAGTAATTGTGCTTTATATGACTTAAACTTAGATGAATGACGAAAAGAATTTTAAAAAAATAACTGCATTAAGTCACAGACCTAGTAGAATGTTAACATTTATAAAGTTCAAAGATTTTTCTTTTCTGTTTATTTGTGATGCTTAGGATTGAATCTAAAACTTTACACATGCTAGTATGTGTACTACCAATAAGTTATGATCACAGCCCCAATGTTCCCACCCTCACCCCTGCTGGTGATGAGCTACAGCAAGAATCTGCTAAACATCCTCAACATATGGAACTGTTTGAACAGTTTCAGAATCTGTTTGAACAGATTGCTCAGTGGGCTGAGCACATGATTTGCACACAGGAGGTCCTGATTACATCCTCAACACTGCACGGGCCTCTGAGTACCACTGAGAGTTGCACCCCAGCCAGAATCTATTTGAACATAGCCTAAGAAGCATAAGAATTAGGAACATACCATAAGAATAAGAAGCTAGTGACTGGGTGGGAGAGAGTACCAGGGCTTTATGTGCTCACCTTGCATGCAGCTGATTCCAGTTCAATCGCTGGGACTGCATAAGGTCCCTGGAGCACCACCAGGTGGAACCCATGAGCAGAGCCAGGAGCTAGCCCTGAGCACCAAAAGGTATGGCCCAAAAGCCAAAAATTAAAGAAGCTTGCTGCTTGATATAATAAACACTGCACTGTAGCACTGTTGTCTGTTGTTCATTGATTTGCTGGAGTGGGCACCAGTAATGTCTCCATTGTGAGACTTGTTGTTACTGTTTTTAGCATGTCGAATACACCACGGGGAGCTTGCCAGGTTCTGCCCTGCAGGCAGGATACTCTCAGTAGCTTGCTGGGCTCTTGGAGAGGGACAGAGGAATGAACCCCAGTAGGCCACATGCAAGGCAAAACGCCCTACCCGCTGTGCTATCGCTCCAGCCACTGTAAATATTTGATTGCAGTTTTTAATTAAGCCAAGTAATCTACTCTGTGATTCTAATAATGAATAATACATAGATATATTTACCTAGATCATCTAAAGCTCTGTATTTAAGTTCCCTTCCAGAGACCAAGCACCCGCTTATTATTTTTTAAAAATGTTAATTGCTGAGAATTTCTATTTCATTATTGTTAATATTTCAAATGTTCTTGGTTAAAAAAAAAGTGAATCATTTACCTTCCTTCTTTGGTGAATTTCCGATTTTCTACTGGGTTACATCCACACGGATTATATAGTGTGGAGATAATTTTCTACCTTAGAGAAAAAGTAGTTAAAAAAAACTCAGAAGCAGTGGCTATCATTTGTATACCATCCTAGTGGCTTTTTAAAAAAAAAAAAGAATAATGTACAACAATGTGTAGTTCTTACGTGGCCACTGGTTTAAAGAAAAGCCATCTTTATCTATTCCATGCAATTGTGCGTGGGGGGAAGAGGCATGGATATAAAGTCATTCCTGTGCCTCCAAATCTTGTTAAATGTGGCTACCAGTGTAGAGGAACCCAACTGTAGTTTACTGCACATTGTGAGCCTATCAGTCCACTGTTTGTTATTAAAACTTTCAAGTAATAATTTGCAAGTTCTTAATATAAATATGTCTTCACCAGTGATAAATTTTTACTCTGCAATCATGTAGAATTTTTTATAGCTTTTGTCAAAAGGGTTTTTTTTTTTTTTTTCAGTTTTTGGACATACCCAGCAGTGCTCAGGGGACTATACATGGTGCCAGAGATGACAAAATGCTTTTATCCCTTTACTATCTCTCCAGCCCAGATTTTTTTTATTTTAATGTAGTTAAATGTATCAAATTTGAGGTTGGAGAGATAGTACAGAAGTTAAGATATTCACCTTGCATATAACCAATCTAGATTTGACTCTAGGAACATATGGTTTCCTAAACTGTCAAGTTTAACTGTCAACTTTAAACTGTCAAGCTTAATCCCCAAACAAACAAAAAGTCACCAATAAATTATGACTTTGTTCTAATGCTTAGAAAATTCTTTCTTTCACAGATAGATTGCATTTATACTTCTCCGGGTTTACAGTGCTGTATATAAACATTACACAAAACTAGATCCTGTACATGCATACTAATATTATGTCATATATAAATATTATATAATAATAATATATATTTATATGTGTATATATATAAACATATAGTTTCCATTTGATTCCCTCCATTCCATCCTCATGATTTCACACTTCAGTAATAATCCCTAAAAAACTGAACATTTGAACAACTTTCTGTTTTGTTTAAAATCAACTGAACAATACTGATTAGATCATGGTTATGGCAATTCTGTAACTTCCTGAATTTGTGTACGTCTGTTGGACTTTGGAAAGGAATCCTTTAAGAGAGTGACTCACTGATAGAAAAAAGTGGCCCACTATTGTGTCAAGTATTTGTGCAAAAGATGTAGTTTATGGCAGAACCATAACTAAATCCTGGTTTTCCTTGTCTGGAATTCTGACATTTGAGGCAGAAGGTACTTAAGTAAACAAACAATCATGAGTAAAACCTTGGGACTGAGCTTCAAACAAGGCTGACTGACAGACACAATATCTTCATGTCTTCATACACTGTTGTCACAATTTGATGTTGATGTGGATCCCCCTCATCAAGAGAGAACTCTTAGCTCATTCCTGGTTTCTTAGGAACTTCACCCAACATGCCTTTTCTCCCTTTTCTGATGTGCTTTTCCATTGTAATGAGTTATAATTATGAATATGATTGTATGGTGAGTCTACTTACTAAATCAAATCCAGTCTTGGGATATACCAACAGAGGAAGTAAAAAAAAAAAAGGGGTGATGTGGCGAAAGAATAGTAGTAAACCAGAGATCAAAATTAAAATGTCACAAACAGCATTTGCAACAAAATCATAAGATCAGACATTCCCGAGTCCTCATATTAAGTGTCTATATAGAAAGTAACAAGGAATAACAAGCCTAAAAGGTACATCAGAGAACATGGAAAGCCCAAAAATAGAAAAAAAGGTATCACAGTCAAGCGTGGTAATCTCACATCAATTAAAACAAGAGATCCACTGCATGCAGTGATTCTCGAGGTCTGCAGAGAAAATCCCAAAGGTACATGCAGTTTAGCTCCAGTGAACTCTTAAAACTGGCCAGGTAAGGCACCTATCATGCACTGAGGAGACAATGTTAAGGACAGCAAAGATTCACAAAGAAGAGGATTGGGAAGAGCCAGGTAACCTCAAAAAGTCACCACTTATTTTTGAAGTACCTGAAAACAAGAGGGAACTTTGTGACATGAAGGTGATATGAAGTCTGTGGCGAGGTGGGGGGGGCGGGGGGGGGGGGTTGAAGCAAATATACAAAACAAAAAAAACCTGAGGTGTTAGAGAGAAAGCTCAGGGTAGTTAAA